TTTTTTTTTTTTTTTTCCAGGAGACAGATGAACTTTACATTGTTTCACAGTTTTTTGTAGAAGAATGGAGGAAATTTGTTAGGTAAATCAGTTCCTATTTAAAATCTTCTCTTTATTCCTTCATAGAGATGCATGCAGTTTTTTGACCTTTGGGTGGTAGCATTTGTATGGTGCAATGTAGAATTGTGCTAAAATAGCTGGCGTATGGGTATATACACTATGCACTTGTGAAAATAAGGGAACCTTTTTTTTCACCAAATCCTTAAGCTTCTATCCGTTGTGATCACTTGAAAGAAAACCGCATTATTTTGTCTTAACCAGATGGTTAGCTTATAGTAAACTGGTATGGTTTTTTCTTGTAAATAAAGCAGTATCATGATCAGAGGGCATAACCTTCCTGTTTCCATGGACTTTCAGTGGTCTGAGATTGGAAATATTCTGAAGATTGAGTAACTTAACAATACACAATACTGATACAACAGTTTAATCTTTGTGTACAGTTTTCTGTAAACAGTCAAATACTTGATCTCACACCTTCTCTCTTATCCTTTCTTATGAATGAAACTTTCTCTCTGACTTTGCAAACTGCTTACATTTTTTTTCGCCGCCTTGTGTTTGGAGCAGGAGGCCTACAAGATGCAGTCCTGTATCGTCGGTGGGAAACAGTGCTCTCCTGTGTCCACATGGGGGCCTTATGTTCACATACGCTTCCATGACCAAAGAAGATTCTAAACTGTGAGTTTCTTCTGTTCACTCGTCTGACTTGTCCAGTATTTTCTTCCCTCCTACATCCTAAGAAATATACTGATCAAATGCCTCGTATAGCTAGCGTCGTCAATCTCTGTGATCGCAATAAGTTTGCCTGGGAGAACATCACTTTTTAAAATCAAATTGATATGGAAACCGAATAAGACTTACGTTACTCTTCAAGATGGCATCCAGTATTAAGTGCCAGAATGAGGCAAGATGCATGCTGTAAAAAGAAATCAGGCTGGCATAGTAGATCTCGCTGTTAGAAAGTAAGCTTTCCTTAAGTAAGCAAGACCTATTATTTGATGCTTGAGAATTCACTTTGTCATCTTCAGAGTAGAACGGGCTTGAGCTTTCCTCGAATTTACTTTCCATCTTCGGCATACTGGATGTAGTCAACAAAACCTGTGCTCTGTGACGTTGCTATTTTCAGCTGCACAAAGCTTCCACCTCTGTGCTTAGTCTTTCTTTCCATCTCAACCCTTCCTTCCTCCATAGCTTTGCTTTAGGTTCTATAGGGACTCTTACATGAAATTGTAACCTAGTAAGGCTTCTTTATCCTCTTAGCGAGGCCTAGTGTTGATTTGCATTTTTTGCTTTTTGAAAGAAAACAGTTAACTGTTTAAAGGTTCTGAAATCTAGAGCCTAGCCCAGTTTGCACCGTCTCTTATTGACAATTAAACTACAAGATTGAAGGTGTGGCTTGGCTTTTCTATGTCATGAAGCATGTTGTGTTTCTTTGCACAGTATAGCTCTAATATGGCCCAGCGAGTGGGAGATGATACAAAAGCTATTTGTTGTGGATCATGTAATCAAAATCATCAGGACACTCGCTGATGACACAAACCCTGAGAGCGCACTTTATGATTCTGAGCCTAGTAAGTGAGTCTTGTCATCTTTGCTAATGGTTCTTTCCCCAGGTGGCACTGATTCCTGTGGGGTGAGGGAAGGAATTTTCACTTTGGCATTAATAGTCGAGCTTTAAGGGAATGAAGAAAAGGTAACTTCCATTTTCCAGTAACACAGCTGCAGCGTAAATGCACTTTCCAGAATATGCCCCCAGTTTGAGTCGCTCTAGATTTAAATTATCATGAAAGATACTGAATATAGCTGTATTTTTTTCCATGTCATCAAAAGAACTGTAGGTATTTAACCACACTTTTTTTCCTTTTTTATCCTTGCAGAATTGTGTCCAGAATGCAGAGAAGGGTTGTTATGCCAACAGCAGAGGGATCTGCGTGAGTACACCCAAGCCACCATTTATATACATAAAGTGGTGGATAATAAAAAGGTACTGATCCTTTTTGTGGCCACTGCCAGCCTTTACTGAATTTCATTAAAAGGAGACTGTATTGATTTCTTATATTTAGTAGTCTGCACGGCTAAATAGAAACCTATCGAATAAGAATGTGTGGTGGCAGGGAGTTGTCCAAGGCTGTTCTGAGAAATGATTTAACTTTGTTTTGGGGTCTCTGTTTTGTGAATGAAGCTCTCAGTAGCAACTGCTAATGATTTCTTTCTGGTGCCAGTAACTTTTAATATTACACAGGAGTGAAAGAATCCCCTTGCCTGCCTTTTGGAAGCTGTTATAACTCTTTACATTCCTGGTTCGCATTCACCAAAAATGACAAATTGTAAAACGTTCATTGTGACAATTTTGAAAGCACGTCTCTTTTGAAAGCTTTCTTTTGGAAAGTCGATTCTTTTGGTTTTTCCTTTACATCACCAGATGTTAAGTTAGGAGTTTCCTGCTCTTTGTTTATTGAACACATTTTTGTGTCTTTTTATAATTACGTGTAATCATCAGACTCCCATGCTTTACTTGGATGTTCCTTTTACATTGGCTATTTACCATCTGTAAATTTACCCTTGTTTCCTGCACTGAAATAAAAACAAACGTCAAGCAGCACAGTATGAGCTAAGATGCTTTTCTAAATTTTGTTACAAGTGAAATACATTTTCAGAGGTAAATAATTATCCCAAATTTTGCTTTTCACATACTTAAAGGTTCTTTGTGAAAAGGTTCCAGTCTTAATTTTCATAATAACTGTTGGTGATTAACCAAGACAGAGAAGAAAGCTCAGATAAGATGTTAAAAAAAACAAAAAGAAACAGCTGATTACGGTAAGATGACATGTGAATGTGGGAAGGTCACAGGATTTCTGAAGGGCGTAATGAATAGAAAAACACAATTCACTGATGCCCATCAGCATGCCAGTTGTGGCTGAGTTGTAACCCTGCTCCATTGTAATGTTCAGGTCTGGAGTGCTGATGTTTCAGGATTCAGAAGATGCATAAGTGCTTTGAAGGGTAAACAGCTGGCTACCAGGAGGGTGGGGAGCTCAGACATCTTGTAATGTGACCGCACAGTATAATATGTTCAGGCAGTGAGTTGTAGGAGCTGTTGGATTTTTTTTTATAGCCCCTAAAGCAAGCAAATTTTATTGACCCTTCCTAATTAGTGTATGTGGGACACAAGCTAGGTCTCTGGAGAAGGTGGTTGAAATATTTAATGCACGTGAGAAGCATAGTTTTTAACAAGTCTGCTGTCCATTCTAGGGGGGGTGTAAATAGAGCCATAAGAATTGCTTTCTTATCGGGGAGAGCCAGATCCTGGTTGCTGGACTAGCTCCTAAAGCATGGTGAACGCCTTTGACTTCTGTTGAAAAGTGGAGCAAGCTGCTCCTTGTAGAATCTAGTTTCAAATAAGTACAAGAGTTAATAGGGTTGTGAGTGTTCAAAAGCTGTTGGCACCAATCTGGAGGCCAGGGTTTTGGGGCATGGAATTCTAGCTCCGTCTCTGGTGCCGAGATGAGCAGAATCGGAGTACGAGACTGGAATCTGCATGTATGCAAAGCATATTGCTGATTGTTCCTGACCGGGCTCTTTGAAGTCAGCCGGGATTCAGAAACATTTAAACGACCCTGCACGTCATCAGTCGAAATATCATTGGTACCGGTATATTGTTACTCTCCGTGAATACTTATTCATTGGTGGTGTAGCACCAAGCATTACATGGTTCCTGGCAGAGAGAATTTAATAGACTCACAGAAAATGAGGGTTGGAAGGTCCTGAGGAGGTCGCATCTAGTCCAACCCCGTATCAAAGCGGGACCAGCCCCAACTATGTCATCCCAGCCAGGGCTTTGTCTAGCCAGGTCTAAAAAACTCCAAGGATGGAGAGTCCACAACTTCTCTGGGTGGTCTGTTCCAGTATTTTACTGTCTTCCTAGTGACAGTTTCTCCAGTATCTAACCTTGACTTCCCTTGCTGCAACTTGAGCCCATTGCTCCTTACTCTGTCATCTGTCACCACTGAGAACAGCCGAGCTCCATCCTCTTTGCAGCCGCCCTGCAGGGCATTGAAGGCTGCTATCAGATCCCCTCTTAGTCTTCTCTCCTCTAAACTGTTTGCTGAATGGTGGCTATTTGAACTAACAACTTTTTTTAACAGATTTATTTGCTTGGCAAGTCAATTAGTGTTTTCTCCCTTGTACACCCAAGTACCTGCAGTTCAGGGTGGCCATAAGTACCTCGCTGTAATTCACAACTTTGGCTAACATTATAATCATTTATCAGTTATTAATGAAATTAGGGGAGATGATGAACAGCTTATCTTTTCATTTTCTAGCCATTGATTTATATCCTGTAAAGGAGAGGGAGCCCTAATAGGTTTCAGGTGCTGCAGTGCAGTGAATATAGTGGTGTCATTTTAATTGAACCTACTTTTAAAAAGCTTTCAAAACTGAGAATCGGGTATTGAGGCTGGAGATATGCTATGTAACGCTAGAAAAATTCCAGCCTCAGATGGTGAGGAGCACAGAGGTAGTACAGACATACATGTTAGCCTAATGCAAGTGTTCACTATAAAGCAACTTAGCAATTATAGATCAGAATGAGGAGAATTATTTAAATTATTTATTCACAGTATACTTACAAATGAATGCCAGATCAATAAAATAACCCTAAGGAGCACCTCTGCCAATCTGCTAAAGGCATGACCCAAGTGTGTGATTCAGAGCATATTAGTGTCTCTTTATTATGGCTTTCATGGCACACTTAGATTTAGGCGGAGAAGCTCTTGGTTGAAGGGGAAAGAATTCAGCTGTGGCTCCCGGTGACCACCATTTGTCTGTAGAGGGAAACGGGTCCTGAGGCACGGGAAGCACCAGAGCCCTGCTGTAGATCTTGTACTTTAGCCAGCACCCAAAACCCAAGTGAAGACATGTAACACTGGCCTCTCTCGTACAGTCGGCTGTGTCCAAGACCGAAGCAGCCCAAACACCTGCCAGGAATCGACCTTCACAGTGCCTGTGGGGTTGATCCCTCATGTCCTTAAGTGCTGTTGCATTTCATTAAAGCAGCACCCTTAAAAACACTGTGGAGGCAGCTTGTCCTAGTCAACTTGAGGTTTTCTAACTGTTGGGACTGTTCTGTAGCATGTGGTTTTGTAACTTCAGGTAATGAAGGAGGCTGCCCCAGAGCTAAATGTGAGCAGTTCGGAAGCTGAAGAGGAAAGGGAAGAAAACAAACCTGAAGGGGAACAGGACCCAGATTTTAACCAGGTAGAGATCTGAAAAGCTGTGGAGTTTGTAATGTTTAGACTTTGCCCGTTGGTGCTGAGGAACCCACATCTGAACTTACACAATCTTTGACGCAATGCGGGAGTCCTTTCCATTTACCGTTACTAGTTGGAACAAGAAATATCACCTCGCTTACTTCTAAGCACATTCTTGTCGCACTCTTAACAGCAAAGATTTTGTAGCTGGCTTTCATGCCTTCCTATTTTAGAAACTAATTTTTCTTGCACAGTGTTGTTAACAAACATGCAGCCAACACTTAAGTATTTCTGTTTCACATCTATGTTTTAATAAGGTTCAGAAATAGAAAATGTACAGTAGGAAATGTAAGGTTTATATACTTAATGTCAGGTGGCGGCAGTTTACACCAACATCATGAGTAAGCCAGCAATATAATGTTCCTGTAAAAGAACACTAAATATTCCATATGCTGCTAGCTTTACAAGTGAATGTCGCACAGTCCTTGCAACCTCTCTGTGATGCCCGTGTGTGTCAGTTCATCCAACATCCACTGCAGTGCTTTCAGCATCCCTTGAGGAAATTACTTTGTTCACTGCTATCTGTGCGAAAGAACGGGAGAAGCTGCCTTAATGAATTCAAGACAAAATTTCCTGTATCTCAACTTTGTCTCTAGACTAATGGTGGTACCAAGCGGCAGAAAGTATCCCACCAGAATTATGTCACTTACCAGAAGCAAGGCATCAGACGGAGTACACGACACAGGAAAGTCAGAGGGGAAAAGGCCCTGCTTGTTTCTGCAAATCAGACGCTGAAGGAGCTGAAAATACAGGTGAGGTAAACTTCCTGAAGACACGGTCCTTTGTTATCGTGGCTATGCTAATGGCAAGGAGTTAAATAGTCAAGCAAAAATGCCTTGCGCTTGTGGCTGTAATGTAGGAAGATCTAAAATCATGTTAAGATTAAGAAAGAGCTAAGCTACAGGACCAATTCACAACCGGATCTTGCCTCCTCTACCATGGACGGAGAAGTCCTAAACACAGCAGAGCTGCCACTGTTTTGGCATCGGAGGCAGCGTACAAGTTGATTCTTGAAAAGCATTGCTCACTGGTTGACAGCCTGAAAGGGCTGGATCCTGCCATGATACGGTAGCGGCTTTCAGTCCAGTATGGCAGGGGAAGGAACATGGTTTTCTCTCTTACGTTTGGTATTTGTGTAGGTCTATTGTATATTTTTCGTTTGCCCAAAACTGGTATGTTTTACTGTGTTGGCACAGATCATGCACGCATTTTCAGTTGCTCCATTTGACCAGAATTTATCAATCAATGGAAAGATACTCAGTGATGACACTGCAACGCTTGGCAACCTTGGAGTCATTCCAGAGTCGGTCATCTTATTGAAGGTAAGTTGAGAAGTGGGGTGGGGGCTGCTGGAAGGAAATGCTGCCTGGAAACAGAAATGATATAAGGGCGCTTGAGTCTGGAAATGTGCAGTCGTAATTCCTGTGCTCGTGTTGTCTTTAAGTGCTGTAACTTCACAAAGCCTAACTGATTTTTACACTGATGATACATGTGTTTGGTGCATTTAGAATCTCCTGCACCAGATTCGTGAGCAGAGCTGTCAAAATCCAGGTTTTGCGATTCAGTCTTCACACTCTTTCTTATGAGCACTAAACCATGTAACCTCATTAATAGATTCTCCTACTTCTTGATTTTCTTGAGGGGAAAAAATGTTGTTTCTTTAAAGATCACTTATGTCTGGTCAAGCCTAATTAATGCCCTAGCAAGTGTTGCTGTGAAGCTGTGTGCTTGTCAGTTTAACAGGCAGCAGATGGCCAAAAAAACAACCAATATATTAGCATTCCAGATTAAGTATCTTCATCCCTCTGCTCTGATGCCCCCTTATAAATGTGCCACTTAAGCAATTTGGAGGTGCCAGTTCAGGAAGGGATTTTGAGAGATGCATAAATGATGTCAGCAAGATGGAAGCATATGGTTCTAAACCACAACACATTTTTCCAGCTTTCTTTTCTTATCACTCACTGCCCTAAAACAACCCTACTCTGGAAGCAGATCTTGTTTGCGTTCCTCTCCGATCTGTTCAGATGCACAGCAGCTAGATTCCTTCACTCAGCTACTAGGACCTTTATAGCTTTTCATGATCATGCCAATTTCATTTTATTTTTTTTGGTTCAGTGTTCGGTTTGTTTTATAGGCTGATGAACCCATCGCAGATTATGCAGCAATGGATGATGTTATGCAAGGTAAAGAGGAACTCATAACTATGTTCTAGAAACAGTGTTTCTGCTCAGTGGTTTAAACACAAATTATGGCCATGCGGAGCCGAGCTGAGCTTGGAACGGGAAATGTTGAAAGAGAGAGAGGCTGATTTGTAGAGTTCAGGTCATACAAGAAAGGTGGGAGAGATGGACTAGAGACAGCAGTGTTGAAGATCTTCCCATAGCCGTCAGCTGAATATTCAGCTGACAGCTTGAAATACGCTGTAAATCAGACACCTGATTCTTCTGGAAGGCATGTCACTGGAGGCGTCTAATACGTTATCCTTTTTCTTTTCAGTTTGTATGCCTGAAGAAGGATTTAAAGGTAAGGCACTTATTCTTTTCACCCCTTTGTTTAAACCTATGAGCCTACATTTATTTCATGTTAAAAGTGTGTATTTTTTTTGTTTGCTTCCAGGGACTGGTCTTCTTGGACACTAAAGGTTTTTTTTATACCCGCTGGCAGCAGAGAAATGACCAGAAGAGAAGAGGATTTTGACATGGTAGGGCATTAAAAGCAAAGGTGGATATATAGGACTCAACAGTTGCTTGACTCTTCCAGAAGGCAGAAACCAATTCTGAAATGACTGCCCCAAAATGCCTTATGTCAAAGCAGATTGCACTGAAGGACATCCTGACTTCAAGAGAGCGTCTCAAATTTTATATTTAATAAAGCAAAGTAAGGTTGCAAAGTTTAGTAGCAGTAACAGTATATTGTGTTTACAGACAGAACTTTCTAGCTGAGGAAGGGAGTGGCATTTTATTGTATTTCCTTACTCGGATTTCATACCACGGTCATCTTTCCATAATGGAATTGTAATATAGTAGATCAAAAACATCTTGATCTGTCCTAAAGTGAGTCTTTAGACAAAAACCTGCTTACAGATATCCTGTCTTTGATCCACTATTACTCTTTCAGTACAGCATGGAAGTAAAGAAATTGTTAATTGTGAGGAATGTCTAGCTTTTTCAAACTTCATATATGTACCCCAAGATGTAAGCTGTGGCCCGCCTGTGAAAGCCTTCCATCAGTGATTCTTAGATGCAGAGATCAAGGGGCTGGGAGATTTCCCTCTTCCACTGTCTCTGGAGACTTTGTTATCACGCACTCATCCTTTTGCAGTTTCACTTCCAAACAGTACGATCCTAACTTTAATAATCACATGGTCTTTCTCTGTGAAACGTGTTTTTAGAAATGTTGACTATTTTAACAACTTTTGATAACATCTTTCTCCAGTATGCTACTGCCAAGAGCCAGAAATCCTTTACACTCTACATCAGTTTGGGAGCCTTGACTTGAACTGATCTTTGCTAGAATATCTGAGTCAGAGCTACCAAAGTGGTTGGGGGGTCATGTTTGGGTAACGTGGTGGGGTTTTTTTTGGTTTTTTTTGTTTTTGTTTTTGTTTTTTTTTTTAATGTAACAAGACTTTCTTTCTGTTGTCATTCCCTTTTCAGGAAAGTGCTAACACTTTTTTGATACATCTTCTGTAATTCTCAGAGAGGCTTTCTTCCTGGTCCTGTTAAATATTATTAGCAGGAAGTAGCGTACCACTCAAACACTGAAAAGGGCACTGCCAAGGCCTTTTTCATAATCAAGTTAGAGATTTCCTGGTACCTGCATAGACTTAAATGTCTTCCCTTAGCAAGAGAGTCTTAACTGAGGTTGTGAACTGGCTCTTGACAACGATTCTGAGGTTTGGGCTGTTATCGGATCTTTTTTTTTTATTTTTTAAAGGACTGTTTGAGCAAAAGTAGTATATTAAAAAAGCAGAAGCTTTGCAGGCAAGGGGGACAGGAGTGGAGGGGGAGGGATATGAAAATATGGACCCAGTAATCTTGATAGCGGTCTTTTTAAAATGTACCTTTTATCAGAGTAATTTTGGCTGCCTGTCATAAAACTATGAGTCTTTGTCCTTTCTCTCTCTGTTGTTTTCATCTGTCTATATTATATTGGTCTCCCCTCGTGCTCTTCCTGAATCATTTTGGGGAAGGGTGCTGGGGAGTTCCGGCAGCAAGTGTGGACCAGTGAGTTGCAAAACAATTGGCATAAAGTGTGCTATGCGGAGCAGCTGGAAAGCCACTGATAATGGCTTTGAAATGATTTGGAAAGGGCAGCTTCAAGCTAAGATTTGCCTCTGGCTTGACTTTGGACCTCAAGGTATGGGTTTGAATCCAGTAAGAGGGCTGGATCTTCGAGAGGTATAGCAGTGCAGCTGAGCAGTTTATTCTTTCCCAAGGTAAAGACTTCAGTAAAACTTCAGTATGCTGTTGTTAGTGCTTGATCAAGCAACTCTCCTTCCCTTGCAAACAGGTTTGTTTGCCTGCCAGAGATTTTATTCTACTTTCTAGACTGAAGCACGCACTCATGTACATAGCCCCTGGAAACTTGATATTTTTTTCAATTTGCTGTTATTTTATGATTTGTTACTAGGGCTCTTCCTTGAGATTAAAACATTGCAAAACTAAATCTCTAAACTTCACAGGGAAGAATTGCAAACCATGATGTACACGTAGACGCGGTTATACAGAGGTAACGTATAGATGTACCTTACGGCCTTGGCATTGCTGTATTTTACAACTGTGCAGAGGAAGCAGGTACAAGATGTGATCAAAGGCACATTTACTGTTTTGTCTGTATTTGCAAACATTGGACTGAAATTGTCATTTGAGCTGTGGAAGCCTTATTAAAGTGCATACACATGGTCTATCTGCTCTTAACACACTGCATAAAGCATTTTTTTTACTTTGATTGGTTTGGATATCTTGTGTGACGTTTTATGTCTTGTTTTCCTAACGCTCTTGAGAATTACGTCATTCTGACCCTTTAACTGTCCTCAGGTTGAGCATGCCCCGAAACAGAGCTAATGGTCGGGTGGCAGACGAATAAATGGTTTTAATTTTGTAGTCAAGTAAAAACTCAGGGTTCCTACGGGCAGTGGAGTACTTACGGGGTCACAGAACAACATCTGCTGGTAGAAGAACACTCTACCTGTAAACCCGTACGTGTAATCCTAATTGATTTTTCTTATTGATGTGCCTTGTTGTTCTCGAGCTAACAGCCAGGATGGCAATTTAAACTGAAAGACCTTGTTCAGATAAATACAGGTGGATGCAATTCTTTTGCCTAATGGCATCGTACAGGGATAGATAGGGGGAGTAAGGTCTGTTACTCCCTCAGCTGCAGAAGCATTCCTGTAGTGCTTAATAATATACTTCACCGTGGTGCAAGGAGCCAGGCTGAAGGAGTCTGAAATAACACTCACAGTTGAGTCACGGTTCGCCTGTGCTGCATGACTGCCTCCCATCAGGGGCCTCGGACAGACGGATCAGACTAATGTCCTGAAAATATGATGTGGGAATGACTAGCTTTACCTGTGAAGCAGGTGAAGAGGAGCCGTTCTCAGGAATTGAAGGGGGGTGGGAAATACCCAGTTCAGCAAATAAGACTATAGCAGAGTACGCAGGTGTTTGGACAGAAATTGAAGTCCTAGACGGAATAAACATTCAACAAACCAGCAGCCTTAGACCGGGTGATCTCTTCTTCAGTATGTAGAGAACTGGGCCTTCATGGTTCAAGAAGACTCCTTTGTGTGGCATACAATTTGGCAACTATTCCCCCGCAGAAGCAAAAATAACTCTGCTGCAGTAATTGTCCTTCAAGACAGAGGTGTTTCTATATCAAGTGCAGGCAGCACTTAACGCATGACCATAACAAAGCCCACTTCAGTGGAGACAGCTGTAGCTTAGAGCATTTGGCCTCCTATGTGACCTTCCAGATCGGTCTGGTGCTCCGTGTATGACAAGATAGCTGTGGAGGTAGAGGGACCATTTCTCATCCTCAGATCTCTTGTGCTTCCGGTAAGGATCTCCTGCCACATCTCTCAGCCCTGCAGCTCACGACTGTGTTTCTCCTCCTAGTCTTATCCCATGACAGTGCTTCACAGGCTATATCTAAATCTCCAAAGACACCACTTCCTGCTCTTGGTGTGCAGCAAGGAGCTGAGCCTTCCACAGCAACAGACTTGGTGTGGAAGCAGCAGCTGGACTTGTGTCCTGTAGCTGCAAGACACTCGAGGGATTGCTCCTGTTAATGGGCAAAGGCTCCACAGAGTGAAAGGCAGAGCTGGGGCTCTTGTGTGGGACCTAGGAAGACCTTTTAAAGGCAGATCCCACCTCCCAGCCAGCTGTAGCTCAGGCCCTCACTCTGCCTGTTTTTAACATACAAGCAGTGAATGCAGCATCGACCAGCAGACAGTTTATTTTACTGAGACTCTGGTCATAAGGAGGGAGGGCTTAAGTTGTTCTTATTTGGGGTAAACCTATACATCCCTTTTAAACAAATAGAGTATGACATGCCAGTCCTGGCCTTTCAGAAGGGGCAGTTCACATCTCTTCTTTTCTATTCAAATCCTTGCCAGTCCTGTCTTGTAGCGCTTTCCCTGCTCTCGAATGCCCTGCTGCAAAAGGAGCTGGAGTCCTAGCCATTTTTTCTCTGCGGAGGAGCTCAGTGTGTCCTGAGCTAGCTTGTTCTTCTGCACCCTCTACCCACTGCACCCTTGTGATTTTTATAGCATGGCATCTCATCTCCCTCCCTGGGTATCTTGGTCAGTACCCTCCTGCTGGCTGGATCTCCCTTTTCCATGCAGCCAGGTCCTGAAGTCGCCGTGCACCGTTACGGGATCCCCGA